CCTCCTTCATTTCTGGACCTGTTGGAGTGATCCTGCTTTGTTGACAAACCCGCAGAGCATGCCAAAATCTTGTATGGGGCGTTTATTCCAGATCACATCTGCAGACAGCAGCAAACCCCCCTGAAGCCTGTAAGTCAGTGTGGAAGATTGTTTTGGAAATCCTCCCTTGTGATTCCCTGCTCTCTTTGTGTCTCTTCTCAGAAGCCTGTCTTCCGGCCTTTTTTCAGCATCTCCCTCGCCTCTCCCCCTCGCAGCCCGCTCCCTTTCAGTTTGCTCAGCTCAGCTGCTCCTTCCCCTCCATACGCTCCTTAACCTCCTACCTTCCTTCCTCTTGGCGTTCCCTTCCCCCTCCCAGATTTAAGTGTCTGTTGAACTGTCAAGTAACATTACTCGTTTCAGTTATGTTTACGTTGCATTTAAATAGTCTCTTAATGATATTAAGAATCAAAACGCAGACTCGGGGGGCTTCTGCTGACTTCTATCGTTGCGTACGTCTGTCTAATTCCTGAGTCCTTTCTGTTTTTGTCTTTGTTTGCCTCTTTTCCTGCGTGCAGACGCATGCCGTGCAAATCCTTCTTTCCTTCTTGATGTCAGGCCCGTGTGTCTGTCATGAGAACATTTGTGATCTGAAGTAAAGGCCTGTGTGTGTGTGGCTTTGCTGATAGTTGGAGTCGGTCTGTCCGTCCCATCCAGTATCTCACACACAGAGGCTGTCCTGGCCGGATTTAAATCCCTGTACCTCACTCTTAACACACACACACACTTCAGCTCAGACTTATTAACTCTCATTTCTATAATTCCTTAATCCGTGTGTGTCAGAAGTGTGTGACGTCGGGTTTTCAGTGGAAAAACTGACTGCTCGGTTAATCTGACATGCAGCCTGTGTATGGGAGGCTACGTGCACGTTGGGGTGATGAGATAGGGGGCAGTCGGGCAGGTGCAGAGACAGCTGGTGTGGGCAACTCCAACCGAGGGGGAGGACTGGAGCCACAGTGAGATTCCTGGAGAACGGCATAAGTACAGGGCTGAAAAAGAGGGGGGACATGAGTGTTTGTGCGGGTGTGCGGGCAAGTGTTTTTCCTGTGTTGTGCCACTTTGATGAAGAACAGCAAGCCCGTGTGAGACACTGAGGCAGAGTGAAAGATTAGAAATAGAAGTATTAAGGATAAAAGAAACAAAGAAGCCCCCAATCAACTCTGTTCTTTTTCTGTTTTTAATAACCTTTCTTTAGTCAGCTCCCAGAATCCGGCGCTAATATTTCTGCTGGAACTGAAAGAATGAGCATATGTTTTTATTTACACCAGCTATTTCGGTTTATGAGGATTACAAACCGGCTTTTAATTGACTGAAAAGACAACGCTCTCTTGCTTTGAATATTCAAAAGATATTTCTACAGCCTACTTTCACTTGACAGTCACTAATTGGCCTTTTCTGTAGAAACTGATCGACATTAGAGAAAATAAATCAGCATAGAATCTCCTGAAATTTGAATGGTGGAGTTTAAGGTATTAATGCTCACCTATATAAACTTCAGTGGGAGTTTTGTTTTTGTTCCAGTAAATTTGATGTATAAACAGATATTCAAGGGAAATCTTCCACCTTCCAAGATGTACATTTTCCATTTTCCAAAACATTCCACAAACAGCTAGCCTGACACATTTGAAAGATGATAGAACAGTAAGTCAGCATCTCTGGTATTTCTGCATATATCCAAGTATTTCATTTAAACAGGTCTTTTCTTTTGTCTTTCTGCCATAGCATATAAATGTCCACGTGGTTTAGATTCCATGTCCTGAAAAGCTGCCTGCATGCTTGTTTCTTTGTCCCTCCTCTCTCTTCTGTGATGTGCATGAGGGATGGGTGTGCAGCGCCCTCTAGTGTCAGATGCGGGGCATGACCAGCAACAGCACCGTGCCACAGAGGCCGAAATCCCATAAATCACAAAACCACAGAACCTGAGGCCAAATGATAGAAAGACTGGTGGTGTTTCATTGCGACGTGTCCGTGAGACGGTCGGGTTCAGCTGCTGTTTGCGTTGGCGCTCATTCTGCTGTCCGTTTGTCTCCTGTTTCATGTGCTGCAGGAGGAGGCCATTCCAGAGCTGGAGATAGACGTGGACGAGCTGCTGGATATGCCCAGTGATGTTGAGCGGGCAGCCAGAGTCAAGGTTAGACACACACACGTGTTTAGAAACACGCCTGCAAGCCAGAAATGCAAACCATTTTATACATGTCTCTCTCTTTAACAGGACTTGCTGGTTGACTGCTTCAAACCTACTGAGGTAAAGTCACCTCTCACTCTTTCTCAGTCGTTCTCTGCCCTCACTCTTTAAGTTCACAGCTAATGTGTTTGGATTCTCCGTCTCCTCACAGGACTTCATCTCAGAGCTGCTCGACAAGATCCGAGGGATGCAGAAGCTCTCTACGCCTCAAAAGAAATGATGACGTCCCTCCTCGTCCTTCCTCCTCAGCCCTCGCCTCTGGTCTTCATGCCACACCACACTCTTTACTTTAATGTCAGCTTTCCTGCATTGAAGATCATCTAATGTTACAATTGAATCTTTTCCTCTGCTCTTGGTCAAGCCCTCTGTTTTCCTCCATCACTGTGGGAGTTGGGCCCCAGACATCACATTTCTTCCTCTTTTTTTGTTGAAATTTGTCATGTTTGAACCTCCCTCATTCAAAGACAACTATCAACAAAGAGGAAATGTCTAAGAGACGTGGTCTTCTTCATCTAGGCCTCTCTTTTTCTGCTACAGCATCTTTTGGAGCCATTTGTTGGCTCCTCTCTCCCTCATCTGAGGCCCTCTCCCCCCAGCCTCCTCTGCACCACCCTCCATCTGTCTGAGGAGGGACAGGAGAGGAGCCGAGTCCTATAATTACTGGAAGCTGGGTGGCTGAGAGTGGGAAGAGGAACAAGAGAAAGAGCTGGCTACAGCCAAGAAAAAGAAGTGAAAGGGTGATGATGAGGGAGGAGGGTTGGAGAGAGGAAACAGGGCTTAATCAGTGCTTAGGCCCCCACCAATGAGGTTCCTTATGCTATTTTATGTGGTTTAAACCTGTAAACGAACCAGCCGCCAATCATGATTTTGTAAACGTATTTGCTTTATCCTGGTTTGGTTTGAGGGCATGAGGATCATCACCTCACTTCTTTTTTCTTTTTTTGGGCGTTTTGGAGGGTGGGTTCTGTCTGTGTTAACTACTATTGTTAATGATCCTCCTTCACCAGAGGCTGCAGTCACTCATTTAAAGACTGTCTTGTTTTTGGTGTTTCTGTTGAAAAGTCTGCACTGTGTCATTTTGGGGAAAAAGATCTGAACCTCTGACCACAAAGAAAAATGTATATTTAGTACAGCAGCGAGGAAAATATGACGCCTGGAAATGGTGATTGAACCTTTAAAAACAAGTCACTGGTTGGCCGTCATGGCCGAAAGACTGGACCAGTTTTAGGACAAAGAACAAAGAGAAACTGGAAAAAAGCGGAAAAAATTATTTGATGCTAGACCAGAGATAGTTTCGTTTAGGCTGAATGTGAATTTTTGTAGAATTAAAGGTTTTCTTTCCTCAAATGTGTAGTACAGTCACAAAAGGCTCCTCTGAGGCCACTGCTGTCCAGCCTGCACATACACATGTATGTCCGTGTTGCTAAACGCTATTAGTGTATGTTGCTACATAATGTACAGCAACATCTGAGTATGGAGTGTTTTTGGGCCTGTATATTCTGCTGTTTTATGCGACAGAAGGTTTTTTGTTTTAGGTTTAGTAGTATAGAACTGGACCTGTTTTGGGTTTTTCCTGTCACACATATACACATCGACTGTCCAAAAGGGGAACCCAGATCAAAGCTGCCTTTAATATCCACTAAATCCCAACCACTCATGGCTTCTTCACCACTTCTTTGAATCTTCAGAAAGTCTTGACCACCGCAACATGCTTTCTGGAAACATTAGATGAGAACGGTCACTGTGGAGCTCCCTCCTTCACCAGTCCAGTTAGCCCACTCTCACTCCACAACACGTCTGAATGAGATGGGGGGGGGGGGGGAAACGTGCTGGCAAACAGCTGCCTCTGACACAGATGTGCAGCGAGAAAGGCCCACAGTTGTCGCAAGGTTCCTGTTCCTCCACGGCTGTTGCCACTCATCTCAAAGAAACGCCAGCTGCATCTGATCCTGGGCCAATCAGATCAGACACCAAAGCCCATTGGTCACCGGCAGAAGCAGGGACACTCGCTGTGATTCCTGTGACTGATCGCTAACACCTGCAGTGACAGCAGACCTTCACTGTCTGCCCCCCTCGCTGCGCACACACACACACACATGCACACACACACACACACACACACACACCCATTGCCCCATATTCACCCTGCTGCTCTGTCATTTCTCCCCTGCATTCCCTCCTTCCTTCCTCCATTGATTTCACCATTGTCATCACCACCCCTTTCTCCCATTTTCCTCAATTTCTTTTTTAAAACAGATGTTGCCTTAGGTATTATTTATGTTACACAAACCAAATATACAGGAGACATTCTTTTTTTTTTTTAAAAAGGAACACATACTGTTGTGTTACTGAGCAAAACTACAGTGTGTGGAGAATTGTGGCTCTTCTGTCGCTCCTTGTTTTGAGATATTTTTTTCTTCCTTTTTAGCAGTGAGTGTTTAATACTTAGGCCTTGATACAGTGATTCTGTTTAGATAAACAATGATATTTACATTGACCATTTGAATACTGGTCTGTTTTTATTGTGACCATGATGAAACTTCTTGATACCAGGCCTTGGATTAACATTTAGTTCAACAAAATTCCATTCAGAGGTAATTTGGTGCGATTGTTTTTGCTTTCCAGACTGAGCTCTCTGTGGGCTGTTTTAATTGGTCCGATTGTTTAAGGCAAGCTCAATCAATAGCTGAATTTGAGTGGATTTTCCTTTCTAAATCCAGGTTTGGATTATAACTTCTTAGACTGTTATTGGCAAGTCTGTTTGATTTTTTCTTTTTTTTTTTACTGTTGAGGAAAATTGCAAAAAATATATATGTAATGATTATTACTATTGAGGTTAAACACAAGAGCTAAACCATGCGGATTGGAGAGGAGGCAGTGGTACTTTGTTTTTTGACAATGATTAGAAAAACCAACAAACAAATGTAGCAATATCAACAACAGGTCTTGTTTTTTCCCAATTTTGTTACACTTTTATGCAACTTTAATAAAAACAAGTTAAAAGAACAGTTTTGTCTCTTTTCGTTGTTTATCAAATATTTGCATCAAAACATCTTTGTGTCTGAAATAGTAGGTTATATGCAACAAAACATATGTTGTCAGTTCAATTAACATGACTGCAGTTTCCTTATCTAAATCATTTTCTTGTAAATGGTTTTCAAACAGACTGGCAGTGTTGCATTCAGCACCCATGCATGCCATGTCAGCGTTCAGCACGTGAGAGCCCACGAACCGGTAAAACGAGAATGCTGCCCTTTGTCTGCTCCTTTGAAAAAGTCCTTTTGTCCAAGCTAAGAATTTCTACCATTTAAAAGCTCCTTGGGCATTACTTTAGTACCATCTTCTGGCTGACTACAGTATATAAACTACATTTTGCATCCCAGAACTTCTACTTTTCAACATTTGAACAAATGTTGACAAAAACTTCTCGAGGAACTTTTCAAAAAATGTCATTCCTCTCCTAATGTGAAAATTGTTTTAAAAATTGGAGCGTACTTTTATATTGTTTTTCCATGTTCTGTCCACATTTTTGAGAAAAAATAATCCTGAAACTTCAGGCACTCTAATCCTTAGACTGATTATTTATTGAACTACACGGGAAACAATAAATGCCTTAACTGTTTTTCTGTGAGCTGGACATCTGAATATCACTACAGGGATTAATACATCGGATCATAAACTCACACATTTGTATTAGTCAAAATGTGTATATATGATTATACATACGCATTTTTATTATATTATATTTTGATTGGTTTGCCAAACCCCTTTTACATTTTGATTGGTCGGGAGATTGCGGGATGGTTGCTCCTATTGGATAGGTTGACAGAGGACCTGGTCGGTGATTGGCTGAGCGTCCGGATCACAAAGTCCTGTGAAGTGTCGAACTAAAAAAGACAGAGGGCTGTCGAAGAGGAAGTACTTTTTGAAATGGAAACATTTTAGTAAATAAAGCCAGAACTTTTGCAGTTCAGCGATAGGACACGGTGAGCACCTTTTTCTTTTCACCGTTCCACCGGTCCCGCCGCGGGTTTTTTACAGACAGCATCCTCTGCCGACATGCTCAGAGAGCGTTATTCTTAATCCGTTTGCAGCGGATCAGGACTAACATCACTCCGAAAGATGCTCCGGTGCTTATCTGATCCGTTTGACGATGTTCAAACTTGGATTTTATGGTTTTGTTTCCATCACCACCCCCGCTTAAAGAAAAAAAATGTCAACAATCATATCATTTACTCCATAAATGTGATGAGCGGACAGTTATTGCTCCGCTGGGTCGCCTCGGTCGTTAGCTAGTGTTGCACTTGACTTCACTGTGGACTGTTTGCCTCCGATTTGTACAGAAAACGCCGCGGTGAACTTTTGCTTAACCCCATATGATTGGTACGTGAATTGTAGGCTCGGTTTAATTGACTCTAGTTTACTTTAACCCTTGTTTTAGTCTTCAAACCTCTGTCTCTTGCGCCGTTTATCGTCGATGACATCAAGTAAGCTAACCAAAGTCAAGCTAGGCACATTTGCAGTGTATTTCCGGTGAGCACACAAAGTAAAACCCCCTTTAATCAATGTTTTCAAACTGTAGGAAGTTGATGCCATTTATTTGGTTAGTGATACGACATCTGCAATGCTGCTCAAATGATATTGGTGTATTGTTTTGCATTTAATGAGATTATTCCGGTGCATATCCGGTTCTTCAGCTCTGTTTTTGTAGCTCTTAGAGCGTGTGGAAGTTAGTTAGTGCCTGTCTGCTAATCCACTGGATTTCTGCTCAGTCTTCAGTAGAAGCCATGCTGTCCTGTTTACCACAGGCTTTATGGCCTGTGTTCTTTTTCTAAACAGGTCAAACATATAAAGACATGCCGCCAAATGATCAACACTGATTTAACATTTATCGGTTATTATTAAGTAGTGTTGACTCATTAAACTCTTTGATAAGGTGGCAGTTGTCTTCCTGTGTCCAGCCATGCCCGCCCAACCCCCTGTGAGGGAGCTGGAGGAGGAGATGGAGGCGGAAGGAGAGTCACAGCTCCCTGAGGCCAATGGAGAAGTGGAGGAGTCAAAAGGAAATGAAAGACGAGGAGGAGAGGAAACAATGGAGGAAAGCATGGAGGAGAGGGACAGCGACTTGGAAGACAGTGAGGAGGAGGAAGAAGAGGAAGAAGAAGAGAGCTCAGGTGAAAAAAAAACTGTTACAAAAATGATTGCTGAGTCTATGTAATAATGGACAAATATGCAACGTAAAGCCTTTTCTAACTCCTCTGTGTCCTCATGTAAGAAATGGATGATGAGGACTGCGAGAGGAGGCGAGGAGAATGTCTGGATGAGATGATGGATCTGGAGAAACAATTTCAGGAGCTGAAAGAGAAGTAATGAAAGCCCGGGAATAAGAGAGTGTTGTATTCCCGACGGGTGCGGGTGGAGGCGGGGCTGACGGTGTGGCTGTGGGCTTGCAGGCTGTTCCGGGAGCGTCTGAATCAGGTGAAGGTGAAGCTGGACGAGGTGCTGACGGGAAAGGCCGGAGAATTCCGAGAGCCGCTGGCCACGCTGCAAACCAGCATGCAGATACGAACACAAGTGGCTGGTAAACAGTAGTCAGGCTTTTCCAGATCACACAGAGTGCAGTCTCGTGAGAGGAGCTCCAGGAGTTTGCATAGATTCATAGATCCATCCATTCTGATGTTAATGTAACATGAAGGGATCTGCCCTCAGCAGCCATACCAGGAGAAAACTGACGTGTTTTCACGCTATCTGTCAGCACGGCGCTGCTGGCGGCCTCTAACACCCCCTCTGTCTCTCTGCAGGAGTGTACAGGGAGCTGTGTCTGCAGGTGATCAGACACAAGCATGAATGTGAAGTGCAAGGAGCCAAGCAGCACCTGGAGGTGAAACGCGTTCATTTATGACTCCATGAGCCGCGCTCAGAGGCTGGAGGGTCCAGTGTTAGGGTTTAGTGGTCCTCAGGGGAATATGGCAAACAGCCGAATGACGAACCTCTCTTTGCTACTGTATTCTCTTTATATCTGTGAAGGTTCTCAGTCATCCAGGTCATGGTCAAGCTTGGATAGTTCAGTTAGGCAGCTGGACGTGAAGTTTTTTTGTCTTTCAGAACTAATAAGGCCTCTTGATGAGAGGCGAAACGTCCAGTTGCCTAACTGGACTTTCCAAGCTATATCCTGTTTATTTCTTTTTCATTTGTTTTTATGTTGTTTTAGGAAAATAAAGTATTTCTCCACCTTTACCCTTAAACTGAATAAGCCAGAGACATTTAAAAATGATCACAGACCATTTAAAACCTACTTCTGTGTGTGTTGCAGAGCGAGCGGACACTACTGTTCGACACAATGAAGACGGAGCTTCTGGAAAAAATAAGACGGTTGGAGGAGGATCGACAGAATATAGACCTCACTTCAGGTGATCTTAGTTCACTGAGCAGGAACTGGACTCTGTGGGTTGAATTGAATGCCTTTTCCTAAAGTCTGCCGGCATTCCAAGTCCTGAATCAGACTGCAGCCATGTCTGATGTGCATTCAAAAAGCTTCAAGGGTTTGTTTTTAACCAGTTTTTGTTTTTTTCTCAGAGTGGAGCGATGATATGAGAGGCAAGAAGTGTAAAAGGAAGAACCTGCTGGGCCGATCGGACAAAAAGAAAAAAGTAGCTCTGGTTTCAGGTAAGATGCGATGTGTGGAGCGACATGCGTCTTGTGGGCTGCTGTTAGCAAACCGGTGACTGAATAGCGCCGCCTCTGTGTCACAGGGCCCTTCATCGTCTACATGCTGAGAGACATCGACATCCTCGAAGACTGGACCACCATCAAGAAGGTCACAATCCCCGCTGGGCAGATTTTAATGTTTGTTTTTTTATTTGGCTGTCGTGATGGTCACCGGCCGGATTAGATCCTTCTGAACTTTGTTGGATTGTTTTTAGCGGCGTGCCCAAAGAGGGCACTGTCTAAACTCTCTCACTGTGTCTTCCAGGCTAAAGCAGCTCTGTCGCCACTGAAAAAGAAAATAGACAGTGAGTTATCTTCCACCAACCAGGGGCATCATCAGCACAGCCCGCTGGGAGTGATCCTCCCTGACCGGCCTCCTCTGTGTGTTTCAGAGCGGTGATGATGGGAGGATGGCAGCTACGACACCAAACCTCACGCTCACATTCCCAGCCCCCTCTGCTGACCGTTCGGCCTCTTTCTCTGACTAAAACGCAGCAGGCAGACTGCTGTGGAGTTTTTTCTCTCTCAGTCCCCCCCCCCCACTGCTCATTAGTTATCTATTGCTATTTAAAAAACGTTCTAAATGATACGAAAAACCATGTATTTATAAAAAGATTTTTAAAAACCGCTGATTAAAGCTTGAACCTTTTATGACAGACTTTTTGTCTTCTGTTTATTTATTGTCTTGTGTATTTGTTACAGGACTTAAAAGCCTTTGTCTACAGACAGCTTAGTAAAATGTCCTAATCTGTGATATGTTATTTAAACTCGAATTAAGCCCTAATCTGTGCATTTACTAATGAAAATAAACCATTAGAATCTGACAAAACTGGTGTCATTTCGTTCTTTTTTTAAATTCAAGCTTAAAGTGACTGAAAACGCGTTAAAGTTCTAGTTTCAAACGATAATAAACTATGATAAAGATCTGTATTATTATCAGTATCAAATCCTATTTCTTGTTTCTGAAAAAAACATTCATTTTAATTCCTGGTTTCAAAAGAATATAATTTAGCATATTTAATCATTCTTCTAGAAACAAAGGCACTGTGTTTGGCTCTGGTTTTTATTACTCAACTATACACAGTGGGCGTTCTGAGGTAATGTTTACCTCAGAACTGTTAGTAACACAGTGGCTGTTTGTAATAAACTGCAGTTGTGATGAATGACAATCACCCAGTAAATCACCATTAAACAAATCCAGCTAAGAGACTCATCAGAATCCTTTCAAATGTTTCTTTTTTTGGAGTTCCTAACACTAAAGGCAGCTTCCTCCCAGTGAGACTTCTGTGGCTACGAGGCCAGTGGGCTCTTTTCCTTTCTACTGTTTTTTCACCTCTCCTTTTTCTGTGCATGCAAGTGAACTAGTTCCAAGCGATGGTTTTACATAAACGTTCAGCATTAAACCTACTTTTCATTCCTTTTATTTCCACATTACCTCATCGGACCGCCTAGAACCTGGAGGGCGAACTCCTCTCTCTACCACACAATGGTCAGATTTCTCTCCTTTGTTTATGTTCCCATCCATGTGAGGTGCACCCCCAGGCTATCATCACTCAGATAACATTCTTGGCTGAAAGAGCACTGAAAATGGTGAGGGGAAGTTTCCCTGGTGAAAATCCCCCCGGACCTCCAGTCAGAGGTTCTCTCCTGCTACTGGCTCACTGTCTGTAGCTGAGTGTGTTTTCAAAGGAAAGGGAGGAGACTGTTTGCCTTTGAGCAAATTGTGAAAATTTAAGCCTGGGTATTCCTAATGTCCTCATACTAAATGAGTGAATAAGCTCTGATAGTTCTTGATTTAAAGGAAGCAGGAAGCAGTCATGACAGACAGAAAGGTCCAGGTGCCTCTTATCCTCCAATAACACAAATCTTCACAATCTTTTATGCCTAAACATGAGTGGTTTAACAGCAGCAAACTGGACATGGTGATGGGTCAAAACTGTTTATTTGAAGTCAAAGGTGGGGGGAAGAAGAGATGGGGACATTCATAGCTATTCACGTGTTTCACAAAAAGCCAAGAGGAGCTAAACCAGGGGAGAATAATCACAACACGCTCCTGTCCCTGGATCTGCTTCTACTCTGTTCTAATGCAAACCGAAAGCATCCTGTTGCTTCCTCTCAGATTGCTGAACGACTAGTCTACATTGTGCCATAACAACACTCCATCTCTTCAGCTCATTCCTTTTCTTTTTGCTCTCACCTTTCCCTCCCTCCTTCCACTGTCTCTCCCTCAACCTCTCTCTCTTCTCTTCCCTTTTCTGCCTCTGCCTGACCAGAGACGCATTCCCTTTCCTTTCTTTCCACCGCTTTTCTCCCTCCTCTTTACACACGCGTACGTTTTCTTTGAATGGGATGCTGCCCCCACAGTTCAGCACACCAGCATCCCTCCCTCCTCCCCCGTGTGCTCACAGGTGTTTGCTGAGTTTCCGGGCCTGCCTCTCCCTAGCTTCAAAGGCTGCCTTGGTGTCAAGGAGTTCGTCCAGTTGCCGGCGGATTCGAGCCATGTCCAGCTGGGCGGCCTCGCACTGCTCCCGGAGCGAGGCGGACTCCTCCCGCAGCTGGAGGGCGGCCGCGGAGAGCTGCTCGCTCCGCTCACGGCACTGCACCTGCATCCTCTTGGCGTCGCTCAGGAGGGACTCCACGCTGACCGCCACCGAGTCACACTGGTCGCTGGATACGTCCTGGACAGAGGGGATGGAGGTCAGAGGGGAAAAGTGAGGCTTTGAAACCCCTCAAGCAATCAGGTGGAGGAGGCCATAAGCGAGATGTGGCAAATGTAAATGTCTACATTTAAATCTTTTGGATTACGTGTTCAAACATCAAGCCTGAGTGCTCGGCCTGGGATTCAGCTTTGAATCATTTTGTCGTTTGTCATAGATTTTCAGAGTTGTCCTGCCAAAATGGCAGATAAAGTGCATCAATAGCAGGCTGTGATAAGTTCAGCCCAGATCAACAGGTTTAAAACAGAACATTTGATCTGTGGTGAGTGAAGTAGCTTAAAGAGGCTTATCATGGCTTATCTCAGTGCAGTGTCCACCGCAGTATCCTCTTCCTCTGGTGTATTTTCCAAATTTGACCGTACATCTCTCTATAACTATAGAGTTATGTATACTTATCTTCTCAGCAGCTGTTACAAATAAAAAGGAAAAAGCGTTAACGTCTCACCATTGACTCCAGAGTCAAACTGATCTTAAGCCTTGTGGTTCTCTTCGGAGAGTCGGTTTTCAGATGGAGCTCACTGTCCTCCAGAGTGCTCCCTGTCTGTCTCTTTCAGCCCTCCACAGATTTCCTGTGTTTCTTCAAAAGAAAAAGTGAACAGTAACTCCAGGTCTTGATTCTGCTGTTAGGTGGAGAGGGTGGATGTGGCTGTCGCTCACTGGACCAGAAAAGGGTTCCGCCTTCAAAAAGACAGTAAATTCTTTGAGTTCTCTCTGTTCTGGTCCGCGTCCCTCTTTCTGATCAAACCTCTTCTTTCTTTCTTTCTAGCTCAGTTCTGTGAGCATTATGTTCTACCTCTGGCTCTAGCGAGGTCAGGTAATCCAAAGAGATAAGACAGTCAGGGAAGGGTAGAAGAAGACGGAACGGAAGGTGTAAGCTCTCCAGATCTATTTTGATCTCACAAGTTCCTGCTAGAGAACTTATTCACAATATCCTTAAGCAGGCAATCATTGCAGTCAGGAATAATTTTATCATGTAAAGTCATTTGTTTCCTATTGAACAAAGAAGAAAATCCCAGACGTTGGTTTCTGATGAAAAAAATACTGTGTACAAAATAACCCAACAGAACATATCTTTATTAGAATGAAGAATTTTGGCAAGAAAGAAAAACAAAGTGATACTTTGTCAATGTAGAAAGCATCATAGCACATAAATATTTTCAAATGCATGTGTAACACATTACAATGTACAGTAGTCTCAGTACAAATGAGTTGTACGTTGTTTTGGCCAGCAGATGGAAACATTGCTCAACCTTTCCATTTCTCCTGTTCCTATGTTTAAAGTCGAGGTGAAAAAAGATTTTTTAGTTGCATGACGAGGAAATGAGAAGGCAGCCACATCTGGGCCCAATCGGGACTATCAGCACATTTGGCTCAGGAAAATGTGTTAAAACGGGTCTAAAAATTGTGAACTGAGACCCACTTTGTCACTTTGACACACAGAGGAATATGAAGATTCAGACATATTACAAAAAGAAGAAAAAAACTTAATTTAAGAAACATTATGTAAACCACCAAAGAAACACAGTTAACAGAAAAAATGCCTGAATATGCACTCCCAGTTAATGAAATAATTTTAAATGTTTAGTGGTTCTAGGGAATTGCTAAATTGCTTCTTCTTATTGAGAAAATAAGGCACAGGATGGTGATGTGTTTCAAGACAAGGTTGCCGAGTGATTAAGGCAATGGCCAGCTAATCCATTGTGCTCTGCATGTGTGGGTTTGAATCCCATCTTTGTTGGTCAATTACACATCTATTCATGAGCGGTGCTTTGGTCTGCGCCTTGGCTCAAATGTGCTGCAGGACAGTGCGATACTTGTATGGAGTGTGTGCCCTGTTTCCCACCACACATTTTATTTGTACTGAACCCTGTGTTTTTGGAACTTTCATCTTCACTGTGGCCTCGCAGGACGATTGAAAAATGGCTCCGTCTCTGCCGCGGTCACCCCTGGATCACCGAAAAGTCCTCCAGCAGGCCCCCCCAACCCTCCGGCAATCACCTTTGACCCGGAACTCTGGCGCCTCTGAATGACCACCAAAGCCCCGATGATGATCCAGAAGAAGAAGTTGACCCACACCGCCGTCTGAGAGGGGACCAGGGAGGAAAACGGCAGGACGCAGAAGATGAGCAGGAGGTAGGAAGGATGCACACATTTAACATGACATGATGTTAACTGTGACATCAGACGATCTTTTTTGGACAAAATGAAGCTTTTTATGAACCACTGGAACATGAATAAAGTGGATCTGTCAGGCGTAGTCTTTTCTCCTCTGTAAGTGGTTTCTATTTCTGATGCCAACTTGCTGAACATGAAGTCATTTTGAATAAATGTATGGTGCTGACACCTATTGACAAATGTCAGGCCTGTCGAGCCGCCCGCTGTGCTGGGCGTTGAAATACTGACCTCTGCTTTGTGCAGGCTGCTGTAGAACCTCTCGCCATGAAGAGGGCTCACCCACTTTCTCATCTGGGCCTCTTCACATCTTGAGAGGCAGAAATATTAGATTACTACATTTTTATTATTTCTCATGTCCAAAATTTGCATGAATGGGGAAACATTACTGTGGTTTGCTCTACTCTAGATTGACAGAACAAATACTCAGAAAGTGATCCATTCAAATAAGAGAAAAAAGCTTTATCCCAGATATTGTTCAAATTTCCGTTAGAGAAGACCCAACAGGGATTTGTAAATCCATTCACACTTATCGCTAGGACAACTGAGTTGCCGATTTTTTTTCGCTTGTGAAAAACACTGTCACACAGACGAGGTGGCCGAGTGGTTAAGGCGATGGACTGCTAATCCATTGTGCTCTGCACGCGTGGGTTCGAATCCCATCCTCGTCGGAAAACCATCTTTAATATTCTCAAAGTATTCCAAGTGATTGTGTTAATTAACAAATGACACTATGAGTTTAGCATTGTTAGACTGCCAGCATCAAGTTAAAAATAAACATGTTTTTTTTAAAAGACAATAAAATATATACTTTAAATAAAGTATATATGTGTTGTCTTTGCACTATACATTATTCAGTTTAGGGTTATTCAGTGTTTTTAAGTTAACACTGCATTAAAACATTTTTTCATCCTTGCTAATAGTGTTTGGTGGTTAAGAGGGAAACTGGGGCTGTGTGAATATAGGTCTGAAACATCTACATACGCCACCCAGAGGCGTAACACAGATGGACGGATGAAAAAGACTACTGAGAGGACGATTTTTTTTCCTCTCCTGAAGCCCCCACACACAGACGAGGTGGCCGAGTGGTTAAGGCGATGGACTGCTAATCCATTGTGCTCTGCACGCGTGGGTTCGAATCCCATCCTCGTCGGACAACAACTTTTAATAGTCTAAAAGTATCCCAAGCAATTGTGTTCATCTTCAAAAGACTCCATGAGTTAAGAATCGGGGTTATCCAGTTTTTTAAGTTAAAACTGCATTAAAACATTTTTTAATCCTTGCTAATAGTGTTTGACGGCTGAGAAGGAAACTGGGGCTGTAAGAATAGTGCCAATGACAGTGAAGCTAAAGGTCAACGCCATCATTCAACTTTGCTTTTCATTTAGATGTTGAGCCTTTCAATGTGGGGCAATTTAGGTTGTTTAATTCAATTACTCATTAAACACTGGGACTGCTCCAGTTTTCTCAAGCGGTCGTGTTAAAACAGCCTCACGTGACCAGCAAAAAATCATTTCATAATTGTACTTTCACAAATCAAAGGACAGATTGAGCCTCTATGGACGTTATAGCTGCAGGGACCAGAGTTTGAAAGGAGGGAATCACATGAGCTTGGGACACAAAGTTCAAAGTTTCGTGTCCTGCGGGTGTGTGTCTGTATGCCGCCTGCACAGGGTGAGTGGCTGAACTCTGTGTCTGGGCCACCTGGTAATATTGTGGACGGTGTGCAGTACGGAGTCGCAGAGCGAGTCCCGCCCGATCTTCAACATGCAGCCTGTGATGAGCAGGAAGAACAAGAAGACGCCACACACCACCATGATCAGGTTCATCCACATGCGCTCCCTGTGGGGTGCAGAAACAAGAGAAAAACTGTGCTGAGAGGGAAAGACACGGATACACAACTCCCACTCCCCAACAGGCTGGGACGATTAAATAAAATCCAAACAAAAACAATTTCAATATTCATTATATACACTCTATACAATACACTGCTCACAATTAATCAGCATTTCACCATTTAACTATTTGATGAAAGAGCAAAAAAAAGGGTTGAAATGTAAGATTATTTCAAAGAAACACCTGGAGGAAGATATTGAATAAAATACAGTCAATATGGTGAAAATGTTTGATATACAGTCACATTTACTGTTCCGAAACCTGGAGATATTCCCAGCTTTTATAACTACTTTCGCAACACCTTGGGTCATGTGCCGTGGGCTGTCCACTTTAATGAGAAGGTGTGAGGAGGACAGGGAGTGTGCTGTGAGCAGCAGCTCCTCACCTTCTCATGTCTCCCTCGATGCACAGCGTGTAAACCCAGTACAGAGACAGGGAGAAGCACACCACCGCCACCATGATGGATATGGCTGAGACAAAATAGCACAGGGAGGCCGAGCTGGACGACTGGACTCCGATGAGGTCTGCCGTCGCATTGTAGCTGACCAGGCCATACAGCATGCACAGCCCTCCAAAGTTCCCCTAAAACAGGAGCGAGAGACACACACGGCACCACTTTACTGATAAACTCATCCATATGGCTTTGAATTGGTCACTACAGGTCAGATTAAATGGAAAACCAAAACCAGGAAACAGCCCGTGTGGCGAAAACTGCGGAATTCGACTCCTTTAAGGAGAAAACGGGCACGAGGAGTGTCCAAGTCACAAGATGCGCTCGTTAGTCGCGCGCTCGCGCGTTTTTCGCATCGCTTCAACAAAAAGCGTAAAAGTTCCTCCTGAATGTGTGTCTGTTGAGAGGCGTCCACGGCCAACACACACTTCTGCGGGCTGTGGAGCCCCCAAACAATAACAGAGATAAATACAGATGCTGGTCAGAGACAGAAATGTCTCTCAGGCCGAACAGGAAAGCAAAATAAAGCGAAAGCGTCATTTTCTGAAGTTCCTCGTGCTCGGTTCAGGTTCATTCCTGATGCCTTCTCACCCAGGAAAAATGGGCCACGGCACGGATTCAGTTAGGCCGTTTTTAGGCTGTTAGATAAAAAACACACGTCAGATGGCTGGGTGGTCGCAAACCTGTCGCGAGGCTTCCCCTGTTGTCACCAAAGTACAGAAATAACACAAACCCTCCGTTTGGGTCCCAGAACTTTAACTTTTAAGAAGTCGCTGGAAAAGTGGGGGCACCCGGAAGAGAGAGAGCCCAGACATGAGCCGCCCCGGGGCTTAAGGTCTGGGCTCTAAAGTCACCTGAACGATGGTGATGGAGGCGGCGGCGACGATCCCACACACGAAGCAGCTGGCGTACAGCCCCAGCTCCAGCAGCAGCAGCCCCGTCAGCGCCATCCTCCAGCCGCCGGGATCCCGAGAGCACTGGAGCAGGGCAGGAGTCAAGCCAGCCCCGCCGGACACACACCACTTCCGCTGTGTGTGTCACAGTAAAGCAGCCACCCGAGGCTCCCCTCCTCCGGTTACAACACTTGAACGCGACATGAGGCTCAGATGGTTCAACAGTTATTACAAAAACACACTCATTTATCCTCCATCCATCCATTTTTTGATCATCATAGGTCTGTGTCGACGAGACCAAACAATAGAAGTTATCACTGGAGCTACTTATAATGAGTGAAAAACTTTTTCAAAGCTGAAAGGATATTGACTTACTATTATGTTTGAAAAAATAGAATATATGACTTATAAGGATCTGAGAAGATTTAAGGATCTGAGATCATTTAAACCTTTTGAAAAATGACACAGATAAAATAAAGATGGTTTCCATTTCAAGGGAATAAAAATAAAAATCATTTTAAAAATCCGGCTGAGCCACTGGAACAATGCACAAAGGTCATGCAGACTGATGACTTAAGATTTAGTTCCGATATTCACAAATATTTGGTTGTGATATCAACTCAGAGCATCCAACTCAGGAGCACAACTTGCACAATTTAGTGAAAGAATTCAGGTTCACAATGAACCTGTGAGCTCTGGGAAGATTGTCTCCAATAGAGGTAATAACTGCAAAGTAGTTGAGCACAGACCTGGAACTGGTTGAAAGAATTCTCCTTATATGGAAAAGATTTGACCCAAAAGACAAGACCTGATTACAGCCAAGAAGCCATGAACCACTTGGACAGATTAGAGATTCTTAGTCTTTCTTCCTGCATTTGAGAACTTCATAAGTTTAGTTTGTTTGGCACGAAGTGTGTATCAAATGACAGATCATGTGTAGAAAGGGTCTGATTCATCAGCCTCTAATTGTAACCACTACTTTATCTTCCTTTGACAAAAGTGTAATCAAAAGGTCTCAGCCAAACCAGATGTGTTAATTCAGCTGGTAACTCACCTGTCTGCTCCAAGCCCGTAACTTGAAGGTAAGAATGTTGTGTTTCTGGTGATATTCAGGCTATTCTTCTTTTTCTTTCCCTAAAACCTTCCGTGACAGTCCTGCCTTCCTGAGTCCCTCCTGTGCAAAGTCTCATTTATCGACTGCATCTTTTGAGCGTCTCTCCAAATATCCTCGTCCCCTTATAAACGCGTACAGAATCGTCTATTCGTCACACACCGGTGTGGATCAACGTGGACACTGTCTGTGAAGGGCCTGCACATCGATTTTCTCTGGATCAGCAGCTGCAACTGAAAGATAAATGAAAAGATGTGGGAAAGAGAAAAAGAAAATCAGTGACTGAGAGTGGAATAAGCCTCATGTCCGTGTCTTTAACTGTCGCCTTTCACCAGCTTCTCCTGCCCGTTTGTCATCACTGCTAGGAATGAATATACCGTGTGTTGCACTAATTAGTTTGATCATGTGATCAGAACTTTAAAAAAAAAAGAAATAAACTGAGCTGTTTGAGGACTTAGCAGCATGTCATCTTGGGATTCGATTTGGCCTCTGGTGTGTAGGGGCTTGTGTGTCTGGAAGTGTAACCTTTTCTCCTCCAGAATGCAGGAATCAGACCTCCTGACCTTTGTCACATGACCTTGTCATTTCCTATCATTCTGAAACAGTTATAAGGTCTTTACAATCCCCTTTTGTGTAAGGAATTTCCTATTTCACTCTCAGATCAAGATTGAAATAGTTCAAATTTCATCAGCTCAAATCAAATAAGTTTTTATTGTCTGTTGGATTGAAAAGCTTCTGCTCCACATTTTGTGTCCTTCTCTCCGGAGCATTCTTAGCCGTAATGAAATCTGTTAATGTGATTTTCAAAGCCAGGCTGAGAACAGCGCATCAGGCTGTAAGTTAAAACTGTGCCAGCCTCCTGCAGATGTTTCCTTCGATAGCTGCAGAGGTTTCGTTATTTAGTGTAGATGTGCTCTGTTGTCTGCAGAAGTAGGGTAACGTTAAAACCAAACAGAATTTCATGAAATCAGACAATCTAAGTTGAACGTTGCTATATTGAAAAGAACTATGACCACAATGACATCATCAGTTTGCCTGTGAAGGTTTTCAGGAGAAGCCTCATCTCTCTGAAAAGAAAATGGTTGGACTATTTGTGAATCTGAACAAACGACAGTACTTTGGGGACAATGCTCATAAAATGAATGCCTTACAAAAACAGCCTAAGGGATCCACAGTTAACGCGACGTGACAGAATTCACCGCTGTCACAGCAAAAATGTTCAGCGATTTGTAAAAAAATGAAAGCGTGCACGAGGAGCAGTGTGCGTGTCTCTGTGTGTGTGTGTCTCGGTGTGTGCGTGGCGCTGTGTCAGGTGGATGGACTTAGTCACGAGCAGAGCCTCTTACAAAGCCATCATGTCGGTATTAGTGTTGGTGAGAATGCATCTGTGTGAGTAACGGCAGCCGCGTTGTAAGATTAAAGGCTTAAAGTATGATGGCATTAGGGTTGCCTACCAGGAAGAGAGCACCAGAAAATATGAGTGTGTAAGCACATATCCAGATGTCATGACACAAACCTTGTATTACTTTAATTAGATGATCATTTTAAACATCAAAGTCCTGAATGAGGCACAGATGTACAATAAAGAATGCAATATTTATAATATAAAAGAGACCGATGAGAGATTACAGTACAAATCTGGGAAACATGCACTTAAATTCACATCACAAATATTTATGGAAGAGAAATCCAACTTTGTTTGAGATAAAAGATTAATGATATACAGCAGATTAAGTGATGTTCCCTCATCGCCTCCGGGAAACAAATGCTGATATTTAGTAAATGTGCAAGTGGTCTACAGAGTTCAGCATCACATTAAAGAATTAAGAAAACCAAAAGAATGTTTTAACAGTAATAATATGTCAAGGAAACAACAAAACAGACATTTTACTACTTTAAATTCAGCGTAGTGCTCCTCTTAAGAATTCTGTTGCTTAAAATGTACAATGTAAAATCCACATACAAACGCTGCACAAAATCGCTATACAGTTAAAAAAAATCATGAAAAAAATTAAAGTGACTGACGCCTCAAGGCTCTGAAAAAAAACTCCAAAACAATCTTCAAACTGACCAAAAGCACAGTGCCGCAGCGCAAGCAAATTATTTCCTGAATCATTTTCCAGGATTGCCTCTCAAATGGACAAAAATACCAATCTCAGCTGAAGCTTGAACACTTCTTTTTTCAAGAAGAAAATAAAGTAGACACATCCAGATGGTTACAGTTTAGCCTAAACAAAAGGCAAAAATTTAACATAATTCAAAGCAAACATTCATATCAAATGCTTAAAGAACAGCACCTCTGTGGGAGAGCAGCACTGAAATGTCTGAGTGGATCTTCTTGCTGGTTTTGGTGCACGATTATTACACAGCAGCTTAAGTGCTTTTGTTTATCAGGAGGCGGCAGCAGGATACATGTTATTTAGCACTGATTGGGCAAAAGTTTTATTTTTTATGAATTACAATACACAAGACGGGTCACTGGGAAGTACGCATGTTTTCATGTTAAGAAGTTGCGCGGCCATGCTGGCAGGGTGGGACAGCACATGTGAAATCACAGCTAGCTCATGGTAACAGCGCCCTGCATCTCCCAATAAATCTGTGACACAATAATTATACAGTCTGTTCCAGCTCTCTGCGTGCAGAAACTCTTTTTTTCCCTTTTTTTCTTTTTCAGGGCAGTGTTATCAAACCTCTTTAGAAGCACTCTGCTTTCACAGGTCAACTGACTGCTGAGGAATGTTTGGAGAAGGAATTCCTGCCCTGTCCATTTTAATTCAGCTGTATGGGCATGTCCCTCGATAAGTGCAGTCACAGGACTTGTATTTGAGTGTGTCGGGCTCCTGTTTGAATATGTGCTGCTTTAAGCATGTAGGCATCTTTGTCCGTTGAGTAGAATGTGCTTATTGTGCTAAATGATCTCTTTCTTTTTTTCACTTTGGACCGAACTGTAAATGAGCAGGGTGGTTTTGGTTCTCACAGTCGGACATGATGCAGTTTTTTGAAGAGCTTTCTAATGCTTATCCCTCCTTTGAGTTGAAATGTGTTAGCATGCATTTGTGCTCATGTACGGACCGAAGGCGGTTCTACTCATCAGCCCACCGGGCAACCAGGCATTCTGAATGCATCTGGCAGAGGACTGTCGAGCTTGCAGATGATTTTATATATTCCTTTCTTCCAGCAGGGGTCACTGTCTCTCCCAGTCCAAATGGCGGAGTAAAACTCTCTCAGAGCCACCTCCGACACCTCAATAAACCTCTCTGGAACCTGCGGACAGAAACAGACAGAAGATCCAATATAATCATTTTTGTAGAATTTTTACCTAAAAATGTGAAGCAATCCATATCTTAACCCTTAAAATATCACATTTATGTATTTTGAGGACTCTCATGTAGCTGTTTTATTTAGCTTTATGTCTTTTAAACACATAGTCTGTTTTTTATGACAGTTTTGAGGACTTCTCTTATGAAAGACTGAAGTACAGCAGTCACACAGCAGCTTTGCAGGATGGAAAACCCGGAAAAATAACCTTATGATCAGATTCGGTTTCGGATTGTTTGACCATGTCATGGAGTCGTCTTTCCTGTGTCTGAACACCCTTTAACTCTGTCAGCATGCGTTGCGGACTTAAAAATGAACTTAGTATCACCAAACCTGATTTCAGCTGATGGAATGAGTGAAAGTTTCTGTTTCCACGCATCGAGTGACTAATGACCGTCATCTTTCAGGTCTTCTACCTAAGATCGTTCTCATGTTATTTAACCATCCCTCCACTTTCTGTATATGCTTATAATAATTTAAATGCTTTTAAGCTGTCTCTTTTAACCGCAGATTCATTTGCAATACTGGGTTTCTGTAGGTTGTTGTAAGATGTAATTCCATTTTTATTTATGGTATAAGTGACTCAGATTGGAAAGAAAATGTCAGCTAACACACAAGAAATTGTACCTTTATTCAGTTGTTGCCATCACAACACTGTGGTTAAGTGTTTTTTAGCATGCATTTTAAAAAGATGGAAGCTCTTAAAAAATGTGTTTTGTGTTAAAGTTATGATTTCCATCATGCATTTTGACAGGGTCATAAAAACAACCGCAGCTGCTGAAATCACGCTGTTAACAGTAATTTATTCAAAGCATGGAGGACGTTTCTTTTATTAGTGGGCTGTGTGTGTGGATGGGAGAGGCTGAATTACCTCCCTTTTTTTAAGGTTGTCGTGGAAACCACTATGAGCTCAGCCATGAAAAGTTTTATAGCCTTCACAGGAAGCAGATCACAGTGGGACCATAATTACTATTTAGGGCACTCGCAGAATAGCTTTTAGTCATTTTGATGGGATATCTTAAGAAATATAGACATTATGTGTCTTTGATGTGTGGGAGAAGACAATCATCTGCATCTGTCCGGCCAATGTTTGTGCTACTCTTTCTGCACCTCACATTTCAAGCAAGACAGAAAAAAGCTTGTGTTGTGTACTCTAATTCAATTATTTTGGGTTACGAGTTCTAACTAGCTTTTATAGTGAGAAGCTCTGGTGAATGGAGAGGAGCTCATAACCAGACAGGACGGAAACTGAGGAGCAATATGTTGGAATAGTAAAGAACAGGAGCAAAAAAAAAGAAAATCACAAGAAAACTAAACGAAAGCGACTGAAACTGGAAAAAAATCCCAACCCAAATCCACAAAATAACCAGAACTTGTGACAGTTTAGTAGTGAGACTAATAGAGCTTGATCTTCTTTATTTTAAAGAGTAACGGTCTTTTTCCGTCCCTTCACAGAACAACTCCACTCTATAAAAATCACTTCCTCAGTTTGCGGCTTCTTAATTGTAAGAAAACATGTTTGTGCTGATATCATGCTCACGGCGGTATTTGATAATGTTTTTAGGCAGTAAGATTTAAAGGTCTTTCACACTACTGAAAACACTGCGGTTTAAACGTGCACACCGATAAAATGAGCTGTACCTGTGGTGCTCAGCAAACACACTGCTTACTGACAACCTCTCCTCACCTGGTAGATGTTACTTTTGTTGTAGTGCATGTTCAGTATGCGGTAAAGCTCGGTGTCACGGCCCACACGCAGCTGACTCTCTCTGGCCAGACGAGGGGCGCCATCCCTGGGTTACAGAGTAACAGTAACCGATAACAAAGATACTGTTGCAGACAGTTTTACAAACAAGTCTGTTTATATTGTAGATGGTGTTACCAATTAGATTGATGTATCAACACAAAAGAAGAGGAAAAAACCATTGCTTAAAAACAATAAAGCAGAGAAAGACAAAACGTGCCATTCTGTATCTTTGAATGATTGTGTGTGCAGGAAACAGCTGCGCATCCTCTGATCTGTTTAACTAAGTATGAACGACATGGCAGCTATATGAAACTAAGAAAAACAATCAGTCTTTGTGGTACGTTTTTAAAAGTCAGAAATTACAAGATAAACTCACCGGTTGAGCGCCTCACGGACAGCTTGGCGTGCAAAGCGCTCCATCTGGATGTAGAAGAACTCCCTGAAGTTACTGAACCACTTAATCATCTGGGAGGTCACACAGCGGTTAAACTGCATGGAAGGAGAGAAGGTAAAAAGTTGAGGGCAGCTGTGCCATCCCTAGCCAAACTTTTTTACCTCAGATATTGCTGTTACATGGCCGGTTAGCTCAGTTGGTTAGAGCGTGGTGCTAATAACGCCAAGG